TGTCCCGCAGTTTCTCTGAAATTGCTCTTCCGCAGACGCCTATAAAGGTGTTGCGCCAAACAGGCACCACACAAGAGCCGATGCAGATTCCCCTCTTTTGCAAAAAAAGAATGCCCTTCAGTAGAAACAAATGTGTGCTTTAAGTAAAATGTCGAAAACTGCAGAAAATGTTTGATGGCAATGCCACAAGAACTTTGGAGTGAAAGAACACCGTTATCTTTACTGCACTCTCTGAGAGACAAAAACCGAACTCAACATTCTAGGAGATGTGATTCTTCCTCCATCGATCACGTCTTGCTGAGAATATTGGCCGAAATTCAACCAAAAACCGCGCTTGCGCATGTTCACGAAACTGACGCTCATGAAATGGATGGACAACGAGGCTACTGATGATAGGGCAAGATTTGTGGCTGAAGGCGTTGACGTCCTCCAGCGCTTTTGTAGCCGAACGACAAATATACTTCAAGACTAGCAGCATCGTCGACCACTTCTTGGAGAATTTAAAGTTGCTCACTTTGGACAAATAGGGAGGCTGCGTGGTTGTATCGGATGTCCTCTACTGTACCTAGGCGAGAGAAGCCATCCTTAAGAACTTCAAGCAATTACTCAATCATTATCGATGTGAAAGCCCGAGCTATGGAGATGTGCCCTGCCATGAAACTACCCGAGCTGCTAAAAAGTGTCAAAAGCAGCGAGAAACCGCAACTCAACATTTTCTTCAAGGCAAAACCCCATAGAATTTATGCCTTCTTCAGGGCTATTGTTACTGCGATGAAGAGTTGGCAGTTTCACGTGGATAGCTTCCTGTGTAAGCATTTCACCACTCTTGAGTTGCGCGAATCGTTCACCAAGCAAAACTCCGAATACTTCATCGATTTGCTTGGAGAGGGTGCGCAAAGTACTCGAAGAGCATACTCTGTCAACGTTGAAAACCTTTTCTATTTGGTCCCTCACGAAACCTGTTGTCGTTCAGAGGGTGCATTAAACTTAACGGTATTCTTACGTTTCAGGGCTCCTGTGTTCTGCAGCCTTTGACATTTTACTTCAAGCACATATTTGTTTCCTTCGAATGGGGTCTCTTTTTAGAAAAAAAGGCATCCTCATCGGTTCTTATGGGGCGCCTGTTTTGTGCGACATGTTTATAAGTGTCTGCGGAAATGCCATCTCAGAGAAACTGCGGGACTCGAACAGGCTGAAAGTCTTCATATATGCGATATATGCGAATGATTTCCTTATTCTGACTAAGCAGGCTGACAAACAAACCAGTGAAGTGAAGGAGGTGTTGGAGGCGTTTGGTTTATGTTGCAGTGGCTTAAAATTAGCGTATAGACCGACACGTGGAGCGGCTCTGTTTACCAACACTGCCGGAAGGCCGCGCATGCGCGGTAGCTATGTGGGCAAAAGCAGCCCGGCTCTCCCGTGTTTTCGCCATTGCGTTCTCTGGAGTGCGCTCGTTGTTGACGTTGTAGGGACGCTTGTATCTTTATTTGTGCGTCGTATTTTCTCACAAGGTATGTCGTATGCTATGCCCGACTATTTGAGCTCGTGGCCCGAGCCTGAACGGCAGCGGCATTGAAACAAACTGTGCGTGGATGGTGTTGCCTGCGAGGATCCGTATGCCGTAAACAAGGCCTGCTGGACTTCCGACGTAAAGTTGCTGCCACGGAAGTCGACGGGTCACGTCGTCGTATATTCAGTTTTTTCGCCAAGCCAGTTCACGGCCGACACGGTGCAGGCGTACAAGTCTCTCGAGGTCTACGATTACTTCGAGTCGGTTTCCGCAGTGCCGGCGGGATCAGCAGACTCTGGGTCTGCGGAAGTGTGTGTATTCATTAATTGATTAAATACACACAGCGTCTGCATGTCAAGGTATGATATTTTTCCTACCCCCATGACCCCAAGGCATGACAAGCAGTAACGGTTTGTCCATTCTGCAGTCTTGGCGCTAACAGATTACAAGTAACGGCGTTGTTGGTAACGCGTTACTTTTTCCGTAACGTATAGTAACCTCCTCGTTACGTTTTCGACAGAGTAACGGGTAAAGTTTCGCTACTCGTTACTACTTCCCAAGTCTTAAAGAAATTGCGCTTCAATTTTTTCCGTGTTTTAGGCGTCAAGCCATGTTTTTCTTTGCGTTTTTTATCGTAAGTATTTAGGTGAAACCGTAAAAAGAGATAAAGTAATTATGTTCAGTTTCTGCATGAACATAATGTTTCTTGATATATGACCTGTATCGTCAAAACCGTAAAATGTGTTAAATTATCATTTAAAAAAGTAACGCAGAAGTAACGTGCGTTACTTTATATCGGTAGCGGTAACGCGTGCCTTTTTAATTTAGGCAACGTAGCTCAGTAACGCGTACCTTTTATTTGCAGGTAACGAGTAACGTATTGCGTTTATTTTTCGGTAACGCCTACAACACTGCCCTTCTGTCGCCGATCCCCTTCTGCTGGGTAGCACGGGCGTAGCGAGCCTCCGACGAGCGCTTGGCCGATGCTTTGTGCGCGAACACCGTGAGAACGAAATCCGGGTGGTCTCGATCAGACAAAGGTTTCCATGCACATAAGCAAGCCTCGGGACGGAGATTGAAATGGAAGCCGCACTTGCCTTCAAGAAAGTGTTTGCCGCACAAACGGTCGTTCGCGCGAGGCAACCATTTTTTTCGATCCACGGATATTATCCACCTTGTATGCCTTTCACAGTCTGCCGGGAACTTGTGGAAACTCACTCCGCTGCTTTTCTTGTACATTTCGGGGCAATTAACGGCAACACAGCTTCGCGGCATGCTGAAATGCTATGACGCCCATGCGAAACGTGCGCGCTTTTGCCCACACCGCCCGGCTCCGGCGCGATGGCAGCGCCGCCGCAGCTGCGTGACGTCAAGCCCGTGTGCCGGTCTATAGGGAACCTACAGAAGGAATACTGCGTCATGGATGTATGAGCCGCGTTCAAAGAAAGTTATAATTCCGGTTAACTCCGCCTATCCAACATTAGTAAAAAAAAAAGCATTGCCGATATGAGCTTAGAGGCGGCTGTTAAAGAGTCTTGCAGTCACAGTGCCAAAGAAAGTTTCAAGAGGCAGGTAGCGCAGCTGGCGGGAGCGGTCTTTTCTCAGGGAACTTACGTTGGGGTGGCAGAAAGCCTAGTAAAGAAAATTAAAGGGAAACAGAGGGAACCCCGCTGCAGCAATAGCGCGAGAACGGTCTTAATTTCGTATGTGCACACCGTCACCAATAACCTTAAGGAAGTGGCTGCTCGGTACGATGTACCCGTTGTTTTTAGTGTACCTAATAAGCTGTCGCGGTTGTGCCGTAGGATCAACGATGCCAGTGACTCTACAGAACCGTGCACAAACCACGCACCGAGTGTAACACAGGAGTAGTGTATGTTATACGCTTTTAATGCGGCTCTTCTTATATACACCTTTTTCGTTTAGCCTTGTACCCAGTTACGTTGTCCCCATATGCGGTATGCGTTCCGATAAAAAGCAAGTGATTTCAACCCGGAAAAAGAAAGAAAAGTATGGAAAGGACATAACAAGAAGGAATGGAGGTTGCAATTAAAATGTTAACATGTTCTACTCGTGAAACGAGAGGAAAGCGATGTTTTCACGCATATCGGAAGTTCCTGAATAGAAGATGGCGGCGCCCAGGTAGAAAAGGTGTATAGGCCGGACAGGGAACTGCTTGAATAACCGTAAGCGCGAGCGTGCCGCAGCCACGCAAGCTACCCCGTAGAGACACCTTGCCCCTCACTGCAGTCGTTGCCCATGCGCCCCGCCATTTAGCGACAGCAGGTCTTCGGCTAGGTACCCAGATAGGTTTCTAGAGAGCAACATGAATCTTTCAAAATCAAAGCAAAAAGGGATAATTGTGTGAGTGACACGGCACTCTATCGGAAAATGAATATCCTTTTTTGTTCAGGGGGTTACCCGGAATTAATGCTGACTGTTCGTTTTTCCACGGCTATATATATATATATATATATATATATATATATATATATATATATATATATATATATATATATATATATATATATATATATATATATATATGAACAGTTTTTTTTGTTTTTTGTTTTCAAATAAAAGTTAGTTGCAAGTGCGATTTCGTGTGTCTACTTTCTTGTCCCTTCATTGTTTTTTTTGCGCTTACCTACGTGATTATGAACCAACTGGCCAAAATCGCCACCTAATGAAGATCATGAAAAGGTGGACTATCCCATTTATGTCCACTGCATGTGTGACATATTTTAAAGTAATTAACTTAAGTAATATTATTATGAGAATTGAAATTTTTATAATAAATTATCGGTAGCTGAACGTTGTCCTATATAATATTAATTTCATATTGCGTTGCGTGTTTTTTACATAGACCCTTAAACATTTAACCTTGAGCGTTTTTTTACGAATTTTGAAGGCCTATTTTGTATGATATATGTATGTCGCAAACGTAAAATTTTCATAGCTGATTTTACGTACACAAATCTATAAATCAATAGAAGTGTTAACTGTTTGTTCACGACTGTTGCCGAGATATAATGTGGCGAACACATGATCCCTTCCGAAAGGCACAGACTTCTGACAATAAAAACAAAAGTTCGATTTCTTTTTTTTCTTTTTTCATTTGCGTTACGAGTTCTACTTATATGGTTCAACATCCCTCAAAAACATGTTGCATTTAATTGTTCAGAAAGAGATAGAGCACCTTCACTGAGAATATTTAAGACCACATAGGGAGGTAAGTTGCCATCCACGAAAAGTGGTTATAACTTGCAGTTTTCTCAAATTTAGAGGGTTTTCAATTTAATTATTTTAATGGGGCCGTTCACACTTAAATAATTCACTGTGAGGTTAAATTAGGGGCATAAGAATATACAATTTCTATCTTCTAAAACGTATTTGAAATGAAACGTTCGCTAATGAAGCCTCAAAGAGTCAGTTTTAATTTGGTTGATATGCTTTCTAAACATTCCATGGTTCTCCCGCACACTTCCAGAAAACCATCAACCTGGAAGCCCCCGGCTATCGTCAGCAAGCCTCAAAGTAAGTTTGTTTTAGTAGCACACATTTTGGAGGTCATTGTCTCTTATGTAGTTTTCTGACCATATGCCTAGCACGTTCATAAGTTCATAGTCGTGCAATGGAAAAATTAATGATATAATATTAGTTTATTTACACTAAGCATATGCTGGAGGTTGGGAGAAAAGCTCTACAGACAGCTTGACTAGTCCCAAGCCCCATAAACATGCTCACAGTGGTGCCAAAATATGTAAAGCAAGGCAGCTCCTTCATACAAACCAAAATAAAGAACACCAAAAATATCAACAATAAGAAGGTTCTCAGTGGATATAAAATTTAAACAGAAACCCAACGCTCAAAATTATTACACACTGAATAATTTATATAACGAAAATTACTCCGCTTCGGGGTTCGCCAGAAGAATAAAGCAGTAAACATTATTTATTTTGACTGAAACTAGTTAAGATTCCGTGATCTGGCCGATGATATACCAAAGTTTCTTTGCATCAATCGGCTTAATATTGCAGACAAGGTTTCCTCAGTCATTTGAGCCCCATAATATTTACGCGATGCATTTCCTATCCAGAAGTCAGACTGACAAGTGGAATATGTTAATGCTTTTGTTTTAAGAGATGCTAACGTTAGTTAAAAACTATTCGTTGCAAGTCTATATTATTTATATTTTTCCTTAAACCTGTATTCGTAATGCTCATGCATTTTCATTGCCCCATTTTCGCACAGAATGTAAAATCAGCACGGAATGAAACTAGAACGCCGTAACGCGTGCCCATCGAAACTGGCTGCTCCACCTGGAGGGCTCCTGAGAACTAATGAATATGCGCCCGGGTGCGAGGGTGCGGGTCCTACTAAGATGTGCTCGACCTTCGCGCGGCGCGTCTGGCACTTCCGCGTTTCGCCGGTGACGCGCTGTAAGCGCCGTCACTCGGGGTTCTTTTGTGTTGCCGCACTATCGCACGGTCGACACCTGCGGCTTGCGCGCGGCGCGAAGCTGCTTGCACCCGCGCCAGTGCAGCACGCCCATGGTGTCTTCTCCTCCTGGCGTGGGCAGTTTTTATTGTTTGTTATACGTATCTTAATTTTATAATTAGCAGTACTTATAGCAAAACAGCGCGACATAACGAGATATAAGAAGAAGTTTGGACACATGACGAGTGCTGACACCCAACTGAAGGTTGCCACGACAAATATTTAGTGTATAATATTTGAGCACATTCATACGTCCACTCCCAGAGCTCGTCCATTAACCTCTCTTGTTCTTCAGGCTCGTATGCCTCGCTGCGAATGCCATAATGCAGGTCCACTAACTCGCGCACTCAGCAAACATTTTCTTAATTGTAGTGAGTTGAGCGTTGAACAATACGTCACTCTGTGCAGATTCTGGTCCAATCTGTCCAGCGCACCCACTATTTATCGCTTAGCATATTGGATGTACAGCGATATCTCTTCAGCGCTGTGATTATCGCTTTGTGTATCGCAAGGTCCAAATTAAAGTTGAAATATTTCGTGCGCAAAAGAACCGTAGTGCTTGATGACGAGTCACCGGAACCATGCGGAGGCGCCGGTGAACAACGTGGCACACGCGGCCTCTGAGAAGTAGTGAAACCTCATAGACGCGAAAAGAATTCATTTATTGGCCCAACCATAGTCTTTATCAAGGCACGTAGCCAGGGGGAGGCCCATGGGCCCCGCCCCCCTCCCCCCCCGAAATCTTTAATTTTGCTGGGACCTCCTCTCCCCTCTCCCCCTCATACAGCATTTGGTCATGGGCGGGCCTCCCCCGAAACAAAATACTGGCTACGTGCCTGCTCTTTATGAAAAAAGTGAAAGCCGTTTACAACTCACTGTAACGCCGAATTAGAGCGCAGCTCTTGAGGAGGAGGAGGGAAGGGTACTGAGGGGGCGGGGGGGGGGTCACGTGACCCCGGGGAATGGGGTCACATGACCTCAGAGAGAGGGGTCACGTGACCACCTCGGAGAGGGGGGTCAAGCGACCTCGGGGGGGGGGGGGGGGGGTCACGTGACCACCTCGGAGAGGGGGGTCAAGCGACTTCGGGGGGGGGGGGGGGTCACGTGACCTAGACCCCCCCTACTCTGCGAGGTCACCGAAGATACCCGAGCTCCTCCCGAAGGACCCCGAGGTCCTCCCGAGGTCGTCCCGAAGGAACCCGAGGTCTTCCAGAGGTCCTCGGGGGGGGGGGGGGGGGGGGAGGGGAGGGGCGGGCTCGCGGTTACGCCGACGCCGCTCAAGCCGGAAAGAGGCGCCAAAGAGCTGTGATCTAAATCAAAAGTGCTGCTACAGACCGACACGTACGCCTCGGTTTTTATAAGCAATGCGCATGTTTCCGTGCGAGGTTATCAGTCGATTCTTATAAAAAAGGCGGAATTTCTCGCTGACGCAGTCTTTGGTAAGCACCGATATGCCAGGCGCATCCAGTCCGGAGCGGAATCGATGCATCACCCTGTCTGAGCAGGGCCTGTCGGAAAGAGACGGGTCAAGCGGCCGCCCGGTGTCGACCGGGCGACACTGCGGCGACACGAAAGCACCCCGAGGGACGGCGCTTACAGCGCGCCACCGGTGAAAAGCGGAAGCCCCAGACGCGCCGCCCGAGGGTCCAGCACATCTTAGTTGGACCCGCACCCTCGCACCCCGGCGCATTTTCATTAGTTCTCAAGGGCCCTCCAGGTGGAGCAGCCTGTGTCGTTGGCCACGCGTTCTGGCGTTCGGGTTTCATTCCGTGCTGGCTGTACCTTTAAGACACCCACATAATGTTCCAAAGGTTCATTTTGTGTGAAAATAATAGGGCATGTTGCATACAAGCCTTAATGATCTTTAAAAAAAAAAAAAGAAACATTTTGTGTAGATTTGATATAGTTCTAGTGCCCCAGACGATATCGGCAATATTTCAGCTGAGAAACAAAAAGTTTCACAGAAAAGCAACTTCACACTTGATAGAAGTACTAGGCGATGTCGGTGAATTTCGCCGCTGATTCGGGCGTGTTATGAAATAATACTATGCGTGTACACTGCCCAAGACATGTGATTTGAAAATAACAGACCTAAAAATTTAAACGTTTTACGATTTCAAAAGGGGCGAGTATAAAATTATATCACTCGAAAAGGTAAGAGTTTAATTTAGGGACCAAATATCATAGCTTTAGTTTCGTTTTCATTTATCAAGCTACTACTTGCTGTAGACCGATATCATAGAATTCATATCACCTAATTTCCTGTGTCTATACTATCATTGCAATTCTGACCCGATAGAAAGATGCTGGTGCCAACTGCATAAATTATAAATGTTCCCTTCGGTGTGATATTGCCGCGCGCCGAGCCGAGCAAACAGCGCTCGGTCACGGACTTCTAGAAGATTTGCGTTCATTCTTACTCGGGGCGTAACTTTTATTATTTCGTCCCCCTCTCTTGTTCTCGAAAGTGCCTGTTCATTCTCACCCCAAACGCGCGACGCTCGAACGTTCAAGCCGGCTGAAGAAGACCGTCCGTTGAAACGACCGAGGAATCCGCCGGGTTCAGGGTTTGCCACCGGAATGTAGTCGACTAATGGAGAAGATCCGCCACCAGTGCACGAAGCCTGCGATGAGCAACGAATCGTCGCCGACTACCGCCGCTTCCTCCCCCGTAGTTTACCTATCCTCGTCCTTCGAACTCCGACGACTTTCCAGGCTATATCTACGAAGATATAGACGATTGGCTTCAGCACTACGAACGCGTGACGCGCCACAACGGATGGACAGCTGGACAGTGCTTGCAAAATGTACTTTTCTTTAAAGGGAACGGCAAGGCAGTTCTTAGAGAACCGAACCATGAGGCTTCTCTTACATCATGGGATACCTGCAAGGCCAAACTCAAGAGGACTTTCACGAACGAGAATGTCGACAGCGAGCGGAAGACGTTCTGCAAATAAGGACACAAGGCCCCAACGAACCGCTCACCAGCTTCGTTGAAGACGTTCTTCGGTTGAGTAGCTGCGCTGACCCTCATGCCACGAAGGACAAGAAGCTGCGGGTTCTGGTGAGAGGAGTGAAGAACGACATCTTCGGCGGCCTTGCTCGCAACCCGCCTGCTACTGTCAAAGAATTTGTTGCGAAAGCAACAAACACCGAGCGTGCGCTGTGAGTCCGAGCCAGCCACTGGAACCGATTCGCCGGCGCGCCAGTTGCTCCGACTCTTGCATCCCCCGATTCGAAGAGGGCGGCATCGGCGCTGACAAGCTTCGCGAAATTGTCGACGATATCGTCAGAGAAGAGCTCGGGAAAATTATACCCGCCTCTCTTCGTTCCGCCTACATTTCCATCGCCTAGATCATCCGAGAAGAGATTCAGCGATCCTTCCAGCCAGAAGCTCCCTTCTCTGTGGCGGCACCGGAAGAGCCCACTCTCAGCTACACTGAAATCGCCCGACGAACGCCGCCCCTTGTTCGCCCGTATACGGCACCACCCCAACGTGAAGCTCCAGCGCCGCAGTACGTCCGCCCAAAACAACCTTCGCCAAGAAAGACGGACGTCTGGTGGACGGCCGACCAACGCCCGCTGTTTTACCCCTGCGGGAAGCCGCCCCTGCGTACCGGCGATGCCCCCAACCGGTAGCTTTCGCTTCGTGGGTTCCAACCGAACACTCCCCGCCCACGGACCGGAGATTGATGGCGGGACAACGAATACCTCCATCGTCCACCGTCACCAACGCCCGCTTCCCCCCCTGCAGTGAGATACCGTTAGCCGTCACCACGACGCCCGCAATCGCCACTTGGTAGGTCCCGCCGAGAGAGCCTGTGTCCTCTCCGTCGCCGGAAAACTAGGTACGGCAATGCCTGGAGGAGGCGTTGTCGAAAACGACTGAAGTTAAGAGACGCGGAACGAAATTACTCGAAGACCGAGAAGGAATGTCTGGCCGTCGTCTGGGCCATCAGGAAATTTTGCTTGTTCTTATACGGGGGCTTTTTGTAGCGTTAGCTACACTGGTCGAGGTTGAGCAGTTTCGCGTGGCC